CAGAGACGGACAGAGACGGACAGAGACGGACAGAGACGGACAGAGACTGACTGTGACTGACTGACTGACTGACTGACTGTGACTGACACACCAATAGAGCAAGGTTGCGCTTCAATCAAAGGATTGAAGTCCATGTGTCCTGGGCAAGACACTTAATCCCAAATTGCTCCCATAGCTGTGCCAATGGTGTGTGAATGTGTATGAGTGATTACATAGTCCTGATTGGCACCTTGCATGGTAGCCCCTTCATCAGTGTGTGATTGGGTGAATGATGACATGTAGGTTTAAATGCTTTGAGTGGTCGGAAGTCTAGAAAAGCGCTATACAAGTACAGTCCATTTACTATTTACCATGACTGATGTCTTTGTTCATTTTTTTATAAACTTCACTCAGAAATGTTACTTGTTTTATTAACAGTTTAGATTTGTTTCTAGTTGACTGACTTTGCTGTTGTAAACATTACGGTTGCTGCTCTACAAACAATATTTAGTTATATTTAGAATATAATTCAATTATAATCCTAGTGTTAATTTGTTTTTAAAATTCTATATATGTTTTTAAAAGCAAGAGTTTTGATAAGAGTAGCTCCGAGTAGTAATAAAATCCTGAAGATATTTATCTCTACTCAAAGGCCACGTAGTTCTCCGACATGCTTGGAAAGGGAGGGGTGATGGAGGGGTATTTAGTTGGTTGCAATCTGCAACACACTATTAGATGCCACTAAATCTTACACACTGCTCTTTTAAGTGAGGGAATAAGGGAGTAACAATCCTGGAACTTAAAAATAAGTTATACCAGTGGCGGGCCGTGCATTTTATACCTGGGCCTTCTGTGCTGTCCTACTACACTTGAGCTGTCTCCTAATAAGCTCATTATGACGCCACAGCTATGGTTATTTGTTTCTATTGGTGTAATAATACACGTATTCGTATTAAACCGTTCAGTACGGGGCTTATGTACCGAACAATACGTTTGAATAATACTAGTGCATTTGGAAAATGCAGAAGCCTAATTAAACTGTGGGAAATATAATGTTTTCGGTGGACTGCGCTCACGTAACAGACAACAGGCTGTGTGACCTCTGAACCGGAACAATAACAAAAAACTGCTGAGGCTGCGGCACCGCACGTGTCTTCAGGGAAGCGGGGAAACAACAGCCCGAACGGACAATAACCCCACGCATGACGGGATGCTTCGTAATTAACGGACAATGCATATAGTCCAAATCAATGTAATTAACACAATGACAAGAACAAACTCACAAGAACCAGTCTCATATATTTATATGACAACAAAGCAACAAATCAATCCAGCAACACTGCAGCGCTAGAGCATGAGCCATTCATATTATTCATAAAAACGACACGATAGACAAATGAACACAGTAGAAACGCTGCTGCAGATGTAAAAACGTAAAAGCAGTTGAGTTACCACAGCTGCTGTTCACTTAAAGACAAAGTCCATCCTCCTGTCTTTGTTAACAAAGTTTAATGACGCGGTTGTTCAGAACATCGGTGCGGGTCAGTTCCAGCCAGAGTTCTCCTGCGAATGTGTTTGTTGAGTTGTAAATCCACTCAGGTCTCTCCAAAAGTTTTCAAAAGCACGTAGCTTGTGCGTGTCCTGTCGTGTAGCTGCCTTGGTTAGCATAGCGTAGCTCCAAACAGCTCCAAACACCAAGAGCTCAGTTGCAAATGAAACGCATTCTTAGCTATAAAATGTGCAACGCTTCTCTGCCGCTGTTAGCCAGAAATACCGTTCGTACAAATCCTTTTCCATGCTGGGTCAGGGCTGCTAGCTGTGGGGTTGACCGACCCTTTGATACAATGTCCAGTTTTTCTGGAAATTTCCTTCTCCAGAAATCTGTTTCTCCTCCTTCAGCCATTGAGTGTCAAAAAAACACAGCTAGGTAAAAAAAAAAAAGAATCTACACCAAGCAAAACGCTAAAAATGTCATAACTTCTCTTACATATGTTTCAACCTGAACTCTTAGGAAACACTAAGATCTGCTAGCTAGCTTTCTGTTTGACAAAAGTCACGCTGGCCCACTGACCAATCACGGCGCACGTTAATGCAGACGTACTTAGGAGGCTATCTGGGTGGTAGTGGCACGTCAAAGAATACGCCCAACATGTCAAACTAAAGATCTGATTGGTTGAAGACTATGACAATCAACAATATCGTCCCCATTCACTTAATCTGCAGTCTACCGAGAGGACCTCTAGCCACAGTATAAGTCTTATACTGTGGCTTTTTTAAACTAAAACGTACCTATTCAAATATTACGGGCCTCTGTATGAATATTACTGAACAACCAAGCTGGAAGTTTGGGAAAAGATAAGTTCTGATATACCACTTAGCAAAACCGGAGGTATACAGACAAACAAATTACAAAAAGAGGATAGGCAAACTGCGTTGTCTGTTTGTATTGGGTATGGGCCACCTATTTATTAACTGTGCAACAATACATTTGTGTTTTCACCAGATAAGAGTATTGTAAGGAACATGCTGTAGGCCTGTTGCCTGTATGTTGCTGTGTATGTTACACCATTTTTACCAAATTAATAAAATCAGCTTAAAAACTGTAATAGCATGAATGAACGTTTTGTTAAAGGTGTAATAAATACATTTAAATACACACACAAGAATAAAACTGACAAAACGCTTTTCAATTGGCCTCTTATTCACCCATTCGCACATGCACACACACACACACACACACCAATGGCAGCGGAGCATGCAATGCGCTGGTCTGCCTTTTGGATGCAGCTTGGGGTTCAGTTTTTTGCTCAAGGACACTATGGATCTGGTTCTACCTCCTGAGCCACAGCAGCTGGTCTTCCTTGATGAGAACCAACTTTGGTTTGGCGTCTTTTACTATTTTGTAGCCAACCTGTTAGCTCCTGTTCCACTTCATGACGGACAGTGGCAAGCTGAAGAATGGTTAATAGAATTTTCTGATTTTTTTTTTCTCCCTCACAATAAAGGAACAAGTGACTGCAGCCATAGCTCTGGCTATGGAGCAGCAGACCCAAAAAATGCTGCTAGAAACTCAGTCGGACATCACAGAGTTTGACAACCTGCTGCAGCCCATTATAGACACCTGCACCAAAGACGCCATCTCTGTAAGCCTGCCATAATAGATTATTTTAGTGATGCTTATGTTCATGGATTCCTAAAATATTGATATCTCACTCATGTGTTTGTCTTCCTGTCAGGCTGGTAAGAACTGGATGTTCAACAACGCCAAGACTCCACAGCACTGTGAACTGATGACATCACATCTTCGCAACCGCATCATTGCTGATGGAGCGCATTTTGAGCTCCGCCTACATCTCATCTATTTAACCAATGATGTTCTCCATCACTGGTACACAAACTAAAATACATTGATCAATATGTCAATCACTTTACTCCTACAGAAAATAGTTTAGCGGCTTTCAGTATAGTCCTCTTTGTAATGTGTGTTGAAATGTGTCTTCACAGCCAGCGGAAGCAGCAGAAGGATTTGTTGGCAGCACTGCAGAAAGTTGTGGTTCCCATCTACTGCACCAGCTTTCTGGCCGTAGAGGAAGAGAAGCAGCAGAAGATAACTAGGGTAAACACTTACAACATATTTACCTCTTCTCAGATTACAGTACTATTAGTCTAAGTAGTAACCGTAACATCATGGGACACTACTCTCCCCTTTATCCCAGAATAATTATGATATACCATTATAAAATAGCATTCACATAAACCTGAATGGAATTTAATCAGTTCTTAATTTGAGTCGGTTCAGTTTTAGGGCTTGCTATTGTCAGTTAATGTGGTAGTGTTATTTAAAAAATATATGACACTATAAACACACGTGGACAAAATTGTTGGTACCCTTCCGTTAAAGAAAGAAAAACCCACAATGGTCACTGAAATAACTTGAATCTGACAAAAATAATAAATAAAAATGTACTGACAATTAACTAATGAAATCAGACATTGCTTTTGAATTGTGGTTCAACAGAATCATTTTTAAAAACAAACAAATGAAAATGGCCTGGACAAAAATGATGGTACCCTTAACTTAATATTTTGTTGCACAACATTTTGAGGCAATCACTGCAATCAACCGATTTCTGTAACTCTCAATGAGACTTCTGCCCCTGTCAACAGGTATTTTGGCTCACTCCTCGTGAGCAAACTGCTCCAGCTGTCTCAGGTTTGAAGGGTGTCTTCTCCAGACTACATGTTTCAGCTCCTTCCACAGATGTTCAATAGGATTTAGATCAGGGCTCATACAGGCCATTTTCATTTTTTTTTTTTTTTTTTTTAAATGATTCTGTTGAACCACAATTCAAAAGCAATGTCTGATTTTCATTAGTTAATTTTCAGTACATTTTTATTTATTATTACTTTTGCCAGTTTCAAGTTATTTCAGTGACCATTGTGGGTTTTTCTTTCTTTAACGGAAGGGTACCAACAATTTTGTCCACGTGTGTAGTATAATGAATTAAGTACCATCGTGTCAGTTGCAATGACTTGAGTGTGTCTTGTTTTTAATAGGACAGTGTCGACCTTTAATGTATTGAATTGGAAAGCTAGAAAGAATCTGTTTCTCTTTTTAGTGAAATTGTTGTCCCTGAGTCTACTGTTGGTTTTCTTTGATTGTCCCTTTCCTTCCCAGTTGTTGCAGCTGTGGGAGAAGAATGGGTACTTTGACGAGGAGACCATTCAGCAGCTCCAGAATCCAGCCCTGGGCCTCGGCCAGTACCAAGTGAGTGGAATGAAATTTAAGGCTTTACTTATTTCTCAAGACAATATTTACCTCAGGTTTTCGAAGTCCTTTAATTGTCCCTTTACTGTAAGGGAATAGAATGTTTTTATACCTTTTTCCAGGATTTAAATCTCTGATCTGTTTCATTTGGCTTGTTCCCGGGATCATAAGCACACCATTGAAGTATTCGTAGTTTATGATCTAGTTTATATTATCCTCTTATCATGTTCCAGATTTTTAATTGGAATTTGATCCATGGATTTTGCAAATTGTCTCCCCAAATTTTCGTTAGCCAATACTGCATGAATTGGGGATCTTTCATAATGGAGAGTTAGATGTCTTTCCACCTTGCACAATAAATTGGGGAACACAATTAATTAAGGGTTTAATCTGGGCAGCATAGAAGTAATCCTTAAAATTGGGTAGAGTCATTCCTCCTTCCTCCTTTGGGAGTTGTAGGTTTAAATTTAACCCTGGGTATTTTTCCCTGCCAAATAAATCTTGAAATGATTTTATTCAATTCAGAAAATTGTTTTGAGGGAATTTTCTACAGGAAGTGCTTGAAATAGGAAGAGATATAGTGGAAGAATGTTTGATTCAGATTTAGTTTATATCCTGCATATCTACCAAATCTTTCTAGCAGGTTCATTCATTAAAAAAGAGTCAGAGGGGGTACTTAAATATTGCTGCCGGAAATGGGCTTCAATATAAAGGCATATGATTGTCTTAAAATTAAAGTCTATGCTGCTTTACAGTGTTGGGAACGAAAGGGAGCGTGGTTGGTTATCAGCAAATATGAAACTAAACTATCAACGGAGTTATTAACATCAATAAGTTCATTAGCAATTATTAATAATAACAGGGCACCACCCTGCAAACAGGGACCGATAACCAACCTATAAATTGACTCTCAAAATTAGTTTTCACTCAGAATGTCAAAGTGCTGTTCTACAATCAGAGCGAACAGTGAAGGTTGAATTTTGGGCACAGGCTACTACATCCAGCTGTTATCACACACAAGTAATCACAGAAGACTGCTCTTTAAAATATAACAGTTTATTAAATCCAAATAATAAATGATCATATCAAATAATATCAAAAGCCAACAAACACTATCATACAATTATATGTTTCATACCTAAAGTCAAGTGAACAAACTGTGGTGTGAGAATATATATATGTACATGTATGTATATGGGGGGTGTATATGTGTACAGACAGGGAGGAGCAAACTACTCAGACAGTGGTAGAATGCAGTGGTGGGCCGTCAGGGTCAGCAAGGCCTTCTCTGCTGGCCTAAACAGAATCACAAAGTTATAGCTATTTTATAATTTAATATTTTCTCTTAAATACACTACATGTATTGTAATTTATAAAAATATTTTTCTCATTATCTTATTTTCTCATTGCACAGCTACTGTGTTCCTCAGTTGCTCTGCTTCCAGTGCAGCTTGTTTTAAGTAGAGCTTTTATCAATCAGATTTCACCTCTGTCTCTAGGTAAGAACAGAGACCCAGGCCTGCAGACTCACAAGTGAATCCCTTTGCAGTTTAAGTGAATGGGGACGATATTGTTGATTGTCATAGTCTTCAACCAATCAGATCTTTAGTTTGACATGTTGGGCGTATTCTTTGACGTGTCAGAGCCTGCTAGCTGCTCTACAACTACGTCAGCATTACGTGCAGCTCAGTTTCCAGGTGCAGCTCTGCAGTGAGGTGCAGCGTGTGCTGTGATTGGTCAGTGGGCGAGCACGTGACTATCGTAAAATGAAACTTAACAGCAGAGGCTTAGTCGGAGTAGTAAGAGTTCAAATTGAAAGATATGGAAGAAATTATGACATTTTTTGCATTTTGTGTGGTGTAGATTTTTCTTCTCTTTACCTAGCTTTGTTTTTTTTAACACTCAATGGCTGAAGGAGGAGAAACAGATTTGTGAGTTGGGATTTAACCGTGGGATTAAACTCTTTGTCAACAAACAAAGGAGCATGGAGTTTGTCTTTAAGTGAACAGCATTTGGTTTGTTTTTTTACATCTAATACCTTAATGGCCCGTGCCCTTGAGTTTGTAGCAGAATGCGTGTTGCTGCTGCTGTTTTCCCATTAAGCTAGTTAGCGTAGCCTCCCAGAACACTTGCGTAGCCTCAGCTGTTTTTTGTTGTAGTTTTTTTTGTTCCGGTTCAGAGGTCACACAGACCGTTGAGGTATTGTTCGGTTTGTAAAGGTATAAAATGCACGGCCCGCCACTGGTAGAATGTAATCTCAAGCGGGGCTGCTCCCCGTGGGCCTACAAACAAGATGGCGGAGGTAAAAGAACTACGACAAAATAGGGGGAGGTGGCTACGTATGCACAATGGGTTGAGACAATAGACTACGTACCTATGTGTCTGAGATGGTTAGCTAAATCAGTATGTGTGTTAGTAGGAAGAGAGAGAGAGAGAGAAAGAAAGGAAAGCCGAACTCTAAAGCAAGGCCGCCGTAAGATGTAAGAACAGCTTCTCTGTCACGTAAAAACTGCAGTCAGATTCAGATCCGACCAGTCACGTTTATACAGTGATATTTGCAGTTCTAAATCATACTCGCGGAGAAAGAAGAGAAAACAAAACCGAACAAAATAAAATAATCCCCAAAACAAAGCAGATCTTTATCAACGCGGTGAAATACGAATATTGCTTTCTTATCACCCTGAAACCTGGCTGGCGAATCGAGTTTCGGCCCGCCGTGGTTCTGGTCTTTAAAGTAACAAAACCACAATCTCCAAATCCACTAGCAGTGACTGATTTAATGCAACACGGTTACAGCAGAAAATACACAGTATAACGTGACTCAGTGGTCCGCGATGCTTGCACAATAACATTGTTCTAAACACTACAGTAATAACAAGCTAAAGGAATAACACACTAAATGACCTAAATTAAGCCCAGACACCAGATAAACTCTCACTATGAGAAGATTTATTTTGGACGGATCAGTCCTTCGAGTGGGGAACTCCACTCGGTTGCGCAGCTCCAAGCATGGCACAAATCAACCTCGGTCTCTGCAGAGAGGAGGGCTCTTCAGCAAAGAAAAAGGGAATTGTCGTCCTTTGGCCGGCACTGTATACATTAATGATGAGAAAATACTTTCCTTTGTTTGAAAGCACATGGCGAGGGCCTTGTGCAGGCCATGAGGTCAGAGTCAGACCCCAACAACCGTGACCATAAACTACATCTCCCACAATGCGCCGGCCAATTTTGAGACCCGCGAAATGACGGCATCCTGCCGCTAGACCGCAGTTTTTCCATATTATTATACGTTTAACTTTGTCAGTTAAATTTTATTTCACACTGTGATGGTGAAGGTAAACTGTGTAATTCATCCGTGGTTCACATGTGTGCCGAACCGTGAGGGGGGATCCGTTACCCCACAATTATTCACTCACGGCAACATGTTGTCTTGTGTGCCGATATTAAAACTATCACAACACGTGGACAGGAGAGGCAACCGCCCGTAAATTGGTTTTCCAACAAGTGATTGAGTTGAAAAAGATCGAAAAATAAACCCAAAATGATTAGAGGGTATTAACATTCTTTTCTTTTATGATGTAGATTAGTCCCAATTGGTCGACTCTTATCTCAGCATTTGCCTTGCAAGATTACAGCTGATTATAATCAGTAGATTGTGTTTTGAGCCGTTTTCAACCATGAAATGTTGATTTTTTTTTTTTTATAGATTTGGTAAGGAATGACGATGATAACACAAGCATTGATGTATTTCATCAATTTACAAACAGTTACTCTTTAATTTAACATAGATTATTGTTGTCGATTAGGTGGATGCAACAACGGGCTTTTCTCTTTAGCTGCTCAAACATAAATCCCTGTAGGCTCTTTGTTTTTTTGCTGGCATCTTTGTGGTTTTATTCGGGCTCAGCCCGGCGCCGGCGGCATAGACTAGCTCTAGGGACGTGGAACGTCACCTCGCTAGCGGGGAAAGAGCCGGAGCTGGTGCAGGAGGTGGAGCGATACCAGCTAGAAATAGTTGGACTGGGGTATCACACTACTCAGCCTCCCGGGGAAGGCTTATGCTAGGGTGCTGGAAAGGAGGCTCCGACCGCTTGTCCAACCTCAGATTCAAGAGGAGCAGTGCGGATTCCATCCCGGCTGTAGAGCAGTGGACCAGCTCTTTACCCTCGCAAGACTACTGGAGGGGCTCTGGGAGTTTGCCCAACCAGTCTACATGTGCTTTGTGGACTTGGAGAAGGCTTTCGACCGGGTCCCTCGGGGGGTCTTGTGGGGGGTGCTGCGGGAGTGTGGGGTGCCGGACCCGTTACAACGGGCGATCCGGTCTCTGTACGACTGCAGTAGGAGCTGTGTCCGCATTCTCGGCAATAAGTCAGACACGTTCCCGGTGGGTGTTGGCCTCCGCCAGGGCTGCCCTTTGTCACCGGTCCTGTTCGTGATTTTCATGGACAGGATATCTAGGCGCAGCCTGGGGGCGGAGAACATCAGTTTCGGGGGTCTCGGGATCGCCTCTCTGCTATTTGCAGATGATGTGGTCCTGTTGGCCTCCTCGGATCATGACCTCCAGCATACACTGGGGCGGTTTGCAGCCGAGTGTGAAGCGGAGGGGATGAGAGTTAGCACCTCCAAATCTGAGGCCATGGTTCTCTGCCGGAAACCGGTGGATTGCTCCCTCCAGGTGGGGACGGAGTGCCTGCCTCAA